ATAATTGAGCAGTAACTTCTTTAAGAAATTTGATACTACTGAATCATTCCAAAGAAGTTGAAATATAACACCATCCTTTTTTAATTCAAATTTCACTGGCTTACAGCATATTTAATGACACTGAATAATTATAATAACAAGTACCATAAACATGAACAGATACAGAAATAAATACAACTGACTCTTTGTAAGCACACAATTGGTCGGGAAGCCACACTGTCAGGGTATATCAGATCCAGTGATTAGCACTGTCAAACGTTCAGTGCACCAAACTGGTTAAAGTGTAGGTTGGGTAAGAGAATGTTCATTGTACATCAAGTTCAAAGTACTGTAATAAATATTAGTTATCATTAATGTCCCAAATTTAAAGATTTTAATTTATCAAAATGTCAATCATGACTAGTAAAACTTTTAAGTGGGAGAATTTTCTTGTTTATCAACAGGAAAAGCAGCCAGAGATTTCAAAGAAAGGGAATCCATTTTCACCATGTTGTTGGTTCTGTTTGCTCTTCTCTCTCTCCCACTAGACTCTAAGCTTCCGGCATGCCTGTCTCCTTCGTAACTGTATCACAGAACCTGACACTCTAAGTGCTAAACAAACTTGCTTGGTAAACTTGCTGAATATGTTCACACATCCTAACCTGGATCAGTATTTCAGCTGCTATCACTGCAGGCCTATAAATAAAATTTTCTGGGGCTGAAATATCTGCTAATATTTTCCATCTAGTTTTCTTTACATTGTATATATGTTTTTTGACACTGGTTAATTAAATTTATAAATCAGGGTCCTATTTATACTTACATTACTACTGTATTAATGCTAATAATAAACTATTCCAAGTTGGCTAAAGCCATTAGTACCCATTAAAAAATAAATTTGGGTTGAATGTCCTACTGAGTTTGAATTTCACATTCTCAGAATGTGTGGCAACTAATACTTCTAATTTCTAGCACTTCTATGGAGAACATACAAGTTCTCCTGGAACTAACAAATCCTTCCCATCCAACACAATTACATAATCCGAGAGTTGAGCAGCACCCTAGAGATTATTTCTGGTCCAAAATCTCTCCCAATTAGGGGCCACATCAAAAACTACAGCAGAGAGGGATATTTTGGGGGCAGAGAGGGATATTTATCTTTAAATCCCACACTACAGAGTGCTGCACCCATAGTAGGGTCTTAATACACAGTTGTTTAATTGAACTGAACAAATCTAAAATAGGCCCATTTCATTAATTTTCTTTTTCCTCCTAGGCTTTAGTGGTAACATTCACTGAATCTGTAATTAAAGATTTGCATGTATCTTCTACTCATTAACCAGTGTTCAAAAAGGAATTCAGTAGAGGAAACTCCATGGTCAGTCAAATGTATTAACGTTAATGCTAATATCAATAATAAAACTTTTAAGAGAAAACGAAAAATCAAGTCTTTGTTAATTTGCTTATGATCTATAAAGGTTTCCAATTTATCCAAATTGCTCACGTCCTCAATGTCTATTAAGATTTTTAACAAAGTCTTGCGTCATTCACACAACTAAATTATATACCCTTCTACTTATAATAGGGGTGCTCACAGACTTAACCATAGTACTGTAGTAAGACATGTTATGATGCTAAATTAGTTGTCCCTCCAGTTAACTGCCTGTGATCCCATCTGATTTCCCATAATATGATAATAAAGAGAACAAAGACTCTGGAGTAGTAAACACCACTAATAATTTTACTTTACTCATATATATTCCTACACAGTACATAATTTACAGCATGGCTCTGCTTAATACTCCTACTACAATGCATCTGTTTTGAGAACTTTAACAACATATGCTAGGACACGATGTATACATTTCCAAATCTGGTTCCTTCTGTTTTGCTGAAAAGGAACACACAGATCCCTCAACAGCACCATTAGTGTTTTCTTAATTTTTTTCAGGCAATAATTTAAATTCCCACTTCCTCTTAAATATCTCTAGAGAGACGCTCCTGCCAATCCATCTGTCTCTTTCATCATAGCTTTTTTTTCATAACTAACGGGTCAATTTCCTCCCCCCACCACCCCATTTCAACACGATGCACTGTACTTGCAGCCAGCCTTCTACTATAGCCCACTGCTGAAAGCTGGACTATAACATATTGAATTTCACAGTCCTTCATTGTTTCCAGTTTAACTGCCATTTTACCACCATGCACACGAGAAATGCGTTCCCACAGGCATCTTACTAATTTCCAAAGCGCTATTCATTGTGGACTTACAAAATATGTTCCTTCTCCGAATTCCCTTTATCACCACAGAAAGGCTTTGAGAAGCTGAGATTCTTTTTTCTTTTTCTTTTTAAGTACCCTATGCAAAAAGAAACTGATTCGAAGCATTTCTGTTTTGCTAGCACATTTAATCCTAAGGGCTTTCCTATAAGGCAAGGGAGGAATGTCAGGGCAAAGATCTTAAATACCACTTTTGGCCTTACCAATTAAAATGAAAAATTTTCAGCCCACAAAGATTATCTTATCAAATGTCTCTTCTTCTCAGGCCACACAAAAGGGCTATCCAGCGCACTGTAAAATAAACAACTGGCTTTGGCTTTTGCACAACGCCCTAAATCTTCCTAAGAAGCCCCTCCTTGAGCTCACAGACTCACATAATCCCTCGGTAAACCCCAAATCTGCCAATGAAGTGGTCTATTTCTCTGCCACAAAGGGGCGGCCAGCGCCTCGTGCACAGCGGCCTCTGCACACATGTGCTGTGCTGACAAGTGCAGAGCTGCCCT